CACCCCGCTGCGAGTCACTTCAGCCGAACCCGACATACGCCGCCATCGCCCAAAGCGAACCATCCGGAAAGGACACATGGTTCTTGGACAGTTGCTGCGGACACCACATGTGCTCCTCGGGACGCTTCGTTCAACGAGAACACCAACTTCAACGCGAAGTTGTCATTACAGTCGCCAACAATCAGAACCTGCGAACACGACGACAAGGCGTGGTTCAACTTCAGTCAAGGGAAACAAACGTTATACTGCAGATGTCAAAAGTAATAATCGCGGAGGGACTCGGCTACAACTTACTGAGCGTCAGTCAGCTAATGGCGAAAGGGATTCACCTCGAAGCAGACAGCACCACCCAAGAATTCAAGCTGTATCACGGGAGAGGAGGACTTTACATCGGCAAGGCGGTCCTCAAGAACAACGTCTTCGTTCTTGATTTCGTTCCTGATGTTGGCACCGCCGACAGCGACGCCATCGTTAACTTCACCAACTGGACACACCCTCCAGACCTTGATCCAGACTTCAGTCCAGAAGGCTTCTGGTATTCACACACCATCCCTGAAGCAGAAAGAACAAGGGCGTTAGCAACAATTCAGACAACATCAGCAGCAGTAGAGACAACATCGGCAGCAGCAGAGACAACATCGGCAGCAACAGAGACAACATCGGCAGCAGCAGAGACAACATCGGCAGCAGCAGAGACAACATCGGCAGCAGCAGAGACAACATCGGCAGTAGCAGAACCATCAACGGCAGCAGCAGGAACGTCAACACCAATTGCTGGTCCTTCAACGACACCGCTCCTCATCGACGACACACCACCGACACCCGCGCAACAACTACACCCAGCACCATAAGAAGTTCATCGTAGCGCCAACTTCACCGCCAACTTCTACTCCAACTCCGATATGTACCGACGATCACCCGGACATCGCGCCGACGAAAGCACCTGGCACGCAAGGATGGGACACCCAAGCAACACAGTATTAAACAATACGATAAGAGCAGGAGTACTCGACAAGGACTCACTCCTACTGACCGACGGACGAGACCTTCAACGAGTACGCGGAACGTGCTTCACCTGCCCTGAAGGTGACTTACCACATCGAACGTTTGCGTCTCATCACAACCCGAGCGCACCCGCGTACGCACCACTCGAGAAGGTGTATAGCGACATCCTGTACAATCGGGAACCAGGACAAGTAATATACAACTATACAATCACCTTCATCGACGCCGCCACCCGTTACGTCTGGCACCTAAACCTCCCTAGCCGCGACATGGCATTCGCAGCCTTCGTTGCCTGGCTACCAGTAGCAGAGAGAGAATCGGGCGTGAAACTGAAAAGCTTCCAGTCAGACGGAGGAGGAGAATACACCTCTCAGCGATTCAAGCAGTACCTGGCGGAAAGGGGAATCAAGCGGCTCATCTCCCTTCCCTACGCCCATCAGCAGCAAGGTGTAGCAGAAAGAATGAACAGGACCTTGCAGAACAGCATGCGCAAACTGTTACGTGACATGCGGCTACCCAACCACCAGTGGCCTGCGGCAATGGACCACGCCGTCATGCTGCACAACTTGCTCTCGTCATCATCGCTTCCAAACAACGCATCACCGCATCTGCTATGGACAGGGAAACAGGGCAGCACAAAAATGTTACGAGTATTCGGATGCATGGTACAGTACCGACCCCCAGCAGCACGAGCGGGCCGATTTTCTCAACGAGCACAGTGGGGACTACACCTGGGAATCGAAAAGAACTACAACGCGTGGAAAATCTTCGACGTCCATTCCAAGGAAACAGTAGCAGCACGTGATGTAATTTTCTACGAACGACTCACGCTCCAGACATACCTTGCCAACCTGCAAGAAGACCAGGATCCCACAGGTGGTTTTCGCGGTGACCGAGCCTTCGCCTCAGCAGCGGACGAAGCTGACTGGGACGAGCAGAATGTGGACAACGCATCAGAAGAAGCCGGACCTCTTCCGTTCTGCTCCGTCGACGTTCCCATGGACGAAGATAACCCTCGCGAAAGTGTCAACGCCGAAACCTTCTACTATTTCGCCGACAACGGTTACGTAACACCTGCGACAGTCAACACCAACGAAGCAGAACGAGTAGGACCCAACTTCATACCTGATCCAGAAGCAGCTTATCCCGAGGACGCAAATCTTCCCCGCTACTCACAGAGTGGACTGCAAATTCTCGGACTCGTCACCGCAGTCCACGGCACCGCCATTCCTAAAGAGCCTGCGACGGTTCAACAGGCTCTGGGGGGGGAGCATAAGGAAAAATGGCGCGAAGCCATGGACAAGGAGCTGAAGGCACTGGAGGAACGCAACACGTGGAAAGTGGTTCCTATCGGCGTGGCACGGAACAAGACAGTGCTCACCGGGAAGTGGGTCTTCCGTGTGAAGACAAAGGCTGACGGCACCATTGACAAATTTAAAGCTCGCTGGGTTGTACGCGGCTTCGACCAAGAACACGGACGCGACTTCACCGAAACTTTCGCTCCGGTTAGCCGCCACACCTCACTACGCATTCTCCTCGCAATCGCCGCCATGAAGAAGAAGAAGCTGCGACAAATTGACGTCGCGAACGCGTTTCTCTACGCACCTGTTGATGCAGAAATTTTCGTCGAGCTACCGCACGGCTCCCACAGAGAACCCAACCAAGTCTGCCAGCTACTCAAGTCACTCTACGGCATCAAGCAGGCTCCGCGACTGTGGCAACAGTACCTGCACGCTCGCCTCATCCGCATCGGCTTCAAGCAACTACCGCACGATCAAGGCATGTACCGGCTCACAAAAAACGACGACTACATCCTACTAATCGTCTACGTGGACGATCTCCTTTACATCGGCTCAAATGACGGCATCACTACCTGGTTCGAAGGGGAGCTGCAGCGAGATCTCACGCTCACAGTTTCATCTACCGTCACCCAGTACCTCGGCCTCAACATCCGGGAAGAGGAGGACGGGATCTACCTCAGCGCCGAGAAATATGCCGACACCATCGCCAAACGCTTTACGCTCACACCGACAGCCATCTCCACGCCATACCGCTACACGGCAGGGAACGACAAAGGAAGCTCCGCTCTACTCAAGCCCGCCGGCATACGAGACTACCAGAAGAAGCTGGGATGTCTTCTCTTCGCAGCCGTCATTCGTCGCCCCGACCTCTCATACTCCGCAAGCCAGCTCGCCACCTACCTCAAGAAGCCTGAAGCAGAACATCTGGCGGAGCTCGACCGCGCTCTTCACTACTTCGTCAGCACCCCAACGATCGGCCTAACTTACTACAAGAACGCAACCACACCGACTAAGTTAATCGGCTACGTCGACGCTGATCACGCTGGCGACTCCGACAATAGGCGCTCCCGCACCGGCTACATCTACCGCCTCGAACCTATCGGACCTATCTCTTGGCAGTCGAGCAAGCAGGAATTAATTGCTCTCTCGTCAGCTGAAGCAGAATATATTGCACTCTACTCAGCCACCAAGGAAGGACTCTATCTTCGCGAGCTGCTGGAAGAAGCGAAGTTAGCCGAGTTACCCAACTTTACCCTGTTCTGCGATAACTAGTCGGCAATTCGCATCGCCAACAAGAACGGCTTCGCGAACAGGACGAAACACATCGCCCTGCGATATTTCTTCGTGAAGGACGAGATCGAGAAGGGAAGGCTCGAGCTGTCATACTGTCCCACGTCCGAGATGGCAGCTGACTACCTAACCAAGAAGCTCGGAAAGCAGAAGTTCGAATACTGCATGCTGCTGACTGGACAGAGCCACGTCAGCGACACTCCAGAAGCGAAGGGGAGTGTTGGAAACAATCGGTCCTAAGCGCCTCTGTCATGTCGAAACACTAAGACACAAAAGAAACGAAGTATAACGAATCACCGGCGAGTCAACCCTCGGAGGTTGAAAGTAACTGTTGGAGGTTACGCGAAAGTCAAAGGTCAGCGACCTTTGACCTGACAAAGTACAGCGCGACAGCAAGGACAAACAACTGACTCGGTATTGAGCAGTTGCCCGAGTCGTCACTGTATCGAACCGCAACAGCAATAGTAAAACGGTTATTAACTGTATCTCTTCGTATTCCTTGTACTCTTATAAAAGCTTGTATCTCTTTGTTTTAATCAACTTACTTTGCCCTCACATACTAGCGCAAGGTGGTTCACAACTCTTTAATTAACGCTTCCGCTACTACACCAACTCTACCCAGAGTTCACCCCTGCAAAGATCCTAAGGGTTTTTCAGCCCAACAACAACACCCCCTCCCCCCCCCCCCCCCCCCCCCCCCCCCCCCCCCCCCCCCCCCTCTCTCCCTCGTCTCCTCCTCCCCTGCTTCTCCCCCGTACACCCCCTAACCGCAAGCACTCTACTGCTGTCCTCTTTCGCCTCCTTCGTGCACCTCGCTCCACGCCCCCTCTCCGCCTCTCCCCTGCCGACCGCCACCACCTGGCGAAGTTTCACAACAGGGTGCTGGCCCGCCAGGAGCACTGCAGTGCTGCGCTGCACTGCTGACCCAGGCCAGGCTAGCACCCCTTGAATGCTGCCCTCTACTCTCTCCCCTGCCGACCGCCACCACCTTCCCAAGTTTCACAACGGGGTGCTGGCCCGCCAGCAGAAGCACTGCTATGCAGCCCTTTTCTAATAACTTTCCGCCTGCCCACGACCACTGTACTGCACTGCACCTTCTTGCACTTCTTTCTGCAATCACTACACTTTGTGTAACAAACATTCTGAGGCACCCCAAAAGCAATGGCGATTGTTTTGTACGACAGACACTTTCTAGTCGGAAAATGGAAATATTCCAAAACACTAGGCATCATGAATGGGACTGTAGCTACGGTACCAGCAACTTTTAGAGCTGAGCTGATCCCATCCCACCGCACCGCAATCACAACAGTGCAGTTGGCAACTTGGCAGACGAAACAAATCATTCATGGTTTATTAATTGTTTCTTTGCAGTCTAGAGTTCCAGAATTTTGTTCCAACACTTAGCTAAGTCCCACCAGTGGCTGGTGCTGCTTCAACCGCCGCAGATTGAGCACGGAGAGCTTCCTGGATCCTTCCTTTCCATACCAACCCCACATCAGAATTCAGTTTCTTTTCCGGCGTGTGCAGAAGATACTCGTCGATGCCGCCCACCTTGTCTATGCACCGAAGGGCATACGTGGTAACCCGGAACTGGATGAATTTGTCCAGGGCAAAGCTGTAGAGGCGCTTGTACTGCACGTTTGGCTTCCACATGCGCCGTGTTCTGTGCGGTGTGGACGGGAACGGGGGGGAGAAGAGGGGTGGGGCGGGACACAAAAAAGGAAGAGGGGAGTGTAAGTGGAAGATACTCGTCGATGCCGCCCACCTTGACTATGCAGCGGAGGGCGTACGTGGTAACGCGGAACTGGATGAATCTGTCCAGGGCGAAGCTGTAGAGGCGCTTGTACTGCACGTTGGGCTTCCACATGCGCCGTGTTCTGTGCGGTTTGAAAGGGGAGGGGTGGTGAGTGGTGGGGGCAGGAAGAGGGGAAAGAGGTCAGGGTGAATGATGTGGCAGCACCGAATGCAAGGGATCGGTCGAGGGCGAAGCTGTAGAGGCGCTTGTACTGCACGTTGGGTTTCCACATACGCCGCGTTCTGCCCATAGTTTGGGAGAGTGGGGTTGGGTTGGGAGGGCGTGGGGGAGAGAGAAGCGAGGGAAGGGAGAGACGGGAGGGTGAGAGTGGGAAACAATGTGACAGCACAGCACGCAATTCGATGACAGTATCAAGGTGAATCTGTGAGGACGTTTGTTCTGCCGGCTACAGGGATAAAGGGATGATGGGAGTGGTACCATGGAGAAGTGAGACAAGAGACCGTGCACGGGTCCAGATAGGAAGAGGGGATCAGTAGGCAGGGGAGGGCGAGGGGACGAGGAACAAAATCCGGCAGTACTTGACCTGAGAGAAAGCTTAAAAGTACTGGACTAGGATGAGAACACCAGAAGTACACAATCCGGCAGTACTTGACCTGAGAGAAAGCTTAAAAGTACTGGACTTTTACTAAGGATGTGAACACCAAAAGTACACAATCCGGCAGTACACGACCTGGCAGGCAGTACACGACCAGGCAGTACACGACCTGGCAGGCAGTACACGACCAGGCAGTACACGACCAGGCAGTAGACGACCTGGCAGTACACGACCTGGCAGGCAGTACACGACCTGGCAGGCAGTACACGACCTGGCAGGCAGTACACGACCTGGCAGGCAGTACACGACCTGGCACTAAACAACACACAGTACCCTGGGCAGTACAAGTCACTTTTGAGAATTCTCAAGAGTAACCTGCCCAGTGCAAGTCTTATAGTTGAAGGAAGTGCGGAAGTCAGCAAAGGCAGGTGCAGACGGAGCGACCAAGGTTCTCAAAAGTCGCACGAATATAGCAGGTGCAGACGGAGCGACCAAGGTTCTCAAAAGTCGCACGAATATAGCAGGTGCAGACGGAGCGACCAAGGTTCTCAAAAGTCGCACGAATAAAGCAGGTGCAGACGGAGCGACCAAGGTTCTCAAAAGTCGCACGAATATAGCAGGTGCAGACGGAGCGACCAAGGACGTGCTGTGCTGCCAAGTAGAACATCATCTGATGCATTTGTTGCCTCCGCATTCGTTGCCTTTGTTCCCGATGCGATTTTTGAGAATTCTAAAACAACTCATGCAGGTTCAGACGGAATGACCAAGGACGTACTGTGCTGCCAGCCAAGTATCACACTGACTGATGCATTTGTTGCCTCCCCGTTCGCTGCTTTTGTTCCCGAACTCGACCCGTCCCTGTCAGCGACGGAATACCTTCGTTCCCAACCTTAACCTCTCCCTGGTGTGCAGAATAAACGGTTTACTTACTCATTCCCCTAAACGGTTGACTTACTCATTCCCTCCGTCCTCGCTAGCTTTCTTGGAGAACCGTTGGTTTTCTAGAATTCCCTAAAACGCTAGCTAAAGTCAACTGGGTCATGTACTGTCGATTTTGACATATTCCCTGACACACTAGGTGGGATCCTCGCAAAATCTGTTGCCGAACTTGACCCCCTTGCCCGCTAACAGCCCTTGACACACTCTAGAGAGATTCCTGAGTCTTAATAGTTGACTGGTCTTATCCGACTTACTTGTTCCCGCCGTCCTCGCTGACTTTGTTGCCGAATTTCACCTCCTTGCCGGCGAACAGCCCTCGCCGCGCGCGTCGCATGACGGCGCGGCCCACTAGCTCCAACCCTAACGGCATTGCTTCCGTGCCGAGCCAAGCGCGCAGCGGCGGGAAGAGAGAGTATGTGTACAGGCGCTCCCTTGGCTAAAGAAAACACGGAGGGTTGATTAGCTGCGGAACGCACGCAGGTGCTTTAAAACCCGCAGGCCAAGAATTTCAACCTTAGGAAGGTTGGTTGGGAGTGAAAACGCAAAAGGCCTGCGAACCAATAGGAGTGTCCGAAATGTTGGACGAGGTCTAGAATTCGGGAATGATCACAGGCATTTTTGGGACATCCAACCAACGCTAGGAAGGATGAACCAAATTTGGCCTTCTTGGCCTGCGGGTTTTAATAGGAAAGGAGGCTGGATTATGCACGCCAATGCAGATGACCTACGGCGGAAGTTTAAGTTGTTGATGGCACGCGTGCGGCATCTGACAACACGCCGCGGAATCAGCTATTGCACCGCCTGGATGAATTAGGAGGAGGCAGTACGATAGTACTTTAGGTTGCCTGATAATATTTAAAGGAGCTAGATATGGCGCTGTACAGACACCTTCGTGCAAAGTCGGGTGCCGTAGTAGCGAAGATATTCTGTGTTTTGTGAAGAAGTAATTTGTTTTGCCATGAGTCGGTGACATACACCTAGTCCGCGGTATTTTAACCAGGTGAACTTTGTTCTTTCAAACCCCCTTTGTTCGTTTCTGGGTAATGTTATTAGCACCCAGAGTCATCGAGACTACGATTCTGCAGCCGAAAGCACTTCCGTCTAAGGAACTCACACTTAGTCATCCAAGATAGACGGAGTGACATTTGTCACACTCGGCATTCACTGAGTTTTTTCTGCTGTCATCTCGCGAAGGGAATGCTAGATTCTACCTTCGTAAAGTTTGAAACAACCCGACTAAATAAGTTTGATAAAGGAGAAGTACCCTCGCGTGGTTAAGATAGCGGCGGTTAAAATACCGCCGCTACACCCTAATGCTCACTCAACCGCCCACTCTGAACACTCCCATAGCCACTCCATACGCCCAGTGGTCGACATTCACAGCCAACGGCCCGCGCGTTACTAGCCCACGACAAAACCAAGATGTTCGAGTTTCCCAGACAAAACACGCTGGGCTACCCACAATTTCCGCAACTGTAGTTTTTTTGTCAACCTTTGTTCTACATTCAGTCCCATTCTGCCCCTAGTGAACGTGTGCTCGAGAGAGGAGCACAGGGAAAGATGGGGAAGGGGACTGAAATGGGCATCATGTGTAGTGTACAGGATGAAGAAGCGAAGCTCCCGTTGGTCAAAATAGCAGCGATATTCGATCAGCAATCTAGAAGTTCGATTTCAGACCAGAGCTTGCGCCACTAGCGAAGCGAGCCCCTACAGTGGTCTCCGAAGAGATTTTTTTTCCCGACCCGATGGAAGTGTACCGTCGGTGTCGGTTTGCAGCTGGGAATACACTTCTGTTCCTTAGGACGCGGTGAAAGTGGAGAATCGATCGCCTCAGATTCGTTATTTAGCACGGTTATAAACGGCTGTGTATCTTTTGTATACAAAACGCAAGGTTTCAGTGCGGTGACAGGATCGATTTCCCCCCGAACGAGCACTTTTACCGCGTCCTTAGAAATTCACGACTGAATTGCTTTGTGCTGTGCTACCATCAGCTAAAAGAGGCTAACTTTGAAAATATCTCAGATTTCTTTGCCAACACGACACGGCATGATTTTTTTCCTGTTGTGCCCCTCCTGCTCGTGGTGCCCCCATTGGTTAGCGGGAGATTGTCAACGGTCAAACAATCCATTTCCCATCCCATCCCATCCCCCTCCCGCCCTCAACTTCCCACAGCCATCTAAGGACTGTGCTAATTAAAGGATTCACTTTACTACGGTTCTGTATGTTGAATAGCATCTATAACATTACTTAAAACGGTTGAATAGGGTTTGACGGAAAATCAACCGGAACGGCACCCCCCTTATCTCTTAGCTTGATTCAGCCTACCTGAGGGACACAAACCTGGCTAAGCACAGCACCACCAACCTTGGCCTGGAAAGAGCCTTTCCCCTTGGTTCTGTTTGTGAAAAGCTGGCACTTCACTCTTGGAAGCTCTGCGATTCTGTTTCATAAGCGTCGCAGTCTCCCTTCCTGGGTCTCGGGTCGCTCCCTCCCAAGCTCCTCTGGGAACTGCTACGCACCATTGCCACATAGCTATCAAATGTGAGAAGCATTCAACCCTCCATTTTCGAACAATTTGACATAGAAGAACCAAGCCGTTGCCCTTCGTACAAATTTCTGGTGCGTGGTTCTCAAGTCGTTAATTTTGGCAGGAAGCAATGTGGGGGTGGCAGCCGAAATTTCAGCGAAACCAGTTTACATTTTTTCTTGTCAGCCTATAACATCGTGGCTACACCTAGTTTAGAGAGGTCAATGCGAGTTGATTGCATCACATTGCGTTTCTCGTAGCTGATCAGCTTCTCTCGTGATCTATTTTTTAACGTCTCACTATCTCGTCGGCCACCGTAGCGCAATGTTTCCTTAGTTCGCGTCAGGAAACTCAAATTGTACAACCCATCCGAGGTTTGTTGTTATCGCTCAGCCAATGTTGCCCATCGAGAGTGCTAGCTTCAATCAATTCACCCCCATCGCATTTCCCTCCCTCTCTCCTACGCCAGGTGCATTCTCTCTAACATTTAATAACATCTTCGTTTCCACCATCTATCCCACCCAACTCCCTCCCTCAGCCTTTCCCGTCCGAACGTGATCCGGACTTCAACGCGTGACAGGAGCGTCACAAAAAGACACATTTTCTTATATTGATTGAAAAAAAAAGGGTCACAATGTTTCTCCGCAAGAAGAGCTCGCTGACGTCCAACATCCTGGGCCGGCCGCCGGCTGACATCCGCGACAAGTTTCTGATGGGGAAGGAGCTGGGCAAGGGGCAGTTCGGCGTGACTTACCTGTGCACGGACAAGGTCACGGGCGAGCAGCTCGCGTGCAAGTCGCTCGCCAAGCGACGGATTGGGTCCAAAGAAGAGGTTGAGGATATCAGGTGGGTGCAATGTGCGCGTCAGATGTAGGACATTGAACGGCTGCGATTGCGTGAAGGGCTTTGGACGCTCAGAGCTTTTAAGTACAAGGCGAAGAAAGATGCATGGCATTGCATGTGGGGCATGGCATTGCATTTGTGAAGCATTGCATCTTCCATCATGCATCTCCTTGCGCTCCCTGTGTTCTCTCAGGAAGGAGATCGTCATCGTGCATCATCTGGCACCCGCACATCGTGCAGCTGAGCTGAGGGGCGCCTTCCCCTTTTTTCCCCTCCCCTTTGCCTCCATTCCTCCCTGTTGCTTGCCGTCCCTAACCCCCCTGTTTCTCTGCCACCTCCCAGGAAGGAGATCGCCATCGCCATCATGCATCATCTGGGCGGCCACCTGCACATCGTGCAACTCCGAGGTGCCTTCGTGGACAAGCACAACGTGCACATCGTCAAGGAGCTCTGCGCTGGCAGCGAACTCCCTTTCACACACAGATCCACACCCGTCTCATCTCCTCTCCTCCTCTCCTCCCTTTCACCAGGGATCTACCATGCCTGTAGTTTCAGAGGCGTACCCCTCCTGTCCCCCCCCCGTCTTCTCCCTGATTCCTCCCAGGAAGGAGATCGCCATCATGCACCACCTGGGCGGCCACCCGCACATCGTGCAGCTGAGGGGCGCCTTCGAGGACAAGCACAACGTGCACATCGTCATGGAGCTCTGCGCGGGCGGCGAACTCTTCGACCGCATCGCCGCCCGGGGCCACTACAGCGAGCGGGCGGCATCGGCGTTATTCAAAACCATGATGGGGGTGGTCGACCACTGCCACCAGAATAATGTCATTCACCGGGACTTAAAGCCCGAGAATTTTCTGCTCGCGGACCGGAGGGAGGATGCGCCGCTGAAGGTGGCGGATTTCGGGCTGTCGTCGTTTTACAAGGAGGGGGAGGTGTTTACTGAGACGGTGGGGAGCGCGTTCTATGTGGCGCCCGAGGTGCTCAAGGGGAAGTATGACAAGGCGTGTGACGTGTGGAGCTGCGGAGTCATTCTCTTCATCCTGCTCAGCGGCACCCCGCCCTTCTGGGGAGGTGAGTGACTTCTCTGCGGACCCTCTATTCCCCTGTACTGACTGCTCTACCTCACTCCCTCCCCCATTCCCGTCCTCCTCCCCCCTTCCCCCCTATCCCTCCCCACCAGACATGGAGAAGCAGATCTTCCACCCCAGCCTTTGCAGCGGACCCCTTATCTCACTCGTTACCCCCCATCCCCTCTCCCGCCTTCTCCCACCAGACACGGAGAAGCAGATCTTCCACCAGGTGCTCAAGGCCACCCCGGACTTTGCAGCGGATCCCTTATCCCCCTGTACTATTTCCCTCTCCCTCCCTTCCACCCCTCCCAACTCCCCTCCTCCCTCCTCCCCCCATCGTTCTCCCCAATCAGACACGGAGAAGCAGATCTTCCATCAGGTGCTCAAGGCGAATCCCGACTTTGCACCGGACCCCTGGCCCTCCCCACTCATCTCCCCTCCCCACTCACTACTTTCTGCCATCTCCCCCTCCCCCCCCACCACCAGACACGGAGAAGCAGATCTTCCACCAGGTGCTCAAGGCGAGTCCTGACTTTGCAGCGGACCCCCTATTCCCCTGTAACGACTGCTCTTCCTCTGCCTGCCCCTCCCTCCCCCCACCACCAGACACGGAGAAGCAGATTTTCCACCGGGTACTCAAGGCCACCCCAGACTTTGCAGCGGACCCCTTATCCTCCTTTTCTGACTGCTTTTTCCCTGCCGCTCCCTCCCACCCCTCCCACCCCCCACTCTCCCCCCTTCCCTCCCCTTCAGACACGGAGAAGCAGATTTTCCACCAGGTACTCAAGGCCACCCCAGACTTTGCAGCGGACCCCTTATCCTCCTTTTCTGACTGCTTTTTCCCTGCCGCTCCCTCCCACCCCTCCCACCCCCCACTCTCCCCCCTTCCCTCCCCTTCAGACACGGAGAAGCAGATTTTCCACCAGGTACTCAAGGCCACCCCAGACTTTGCAGCGGACCCCTTATCCTCCTTTTCTGACTGCTTTTTCCCTGCCCCTCCCTCCCACCCCTCCCACTCCCCACTCTCCCCCCTTCCCTCCCCTTAAGACACGGAGAAGCAGATCTTCCACCAGGTGCTCAAGGCCACCCCCGACTTTGCAGCGGACCCCTGGCCACAGGTGTCGGACTCGGCCAAGGACCTGGTCAAGCGCATGCTGCACCCCGACCCTTCTGTGCGCATCTCCTCCGCTGACGTGCTCCGTGAGTGAAGCAGCACGTGCATATGTGGTCAAGGGAAGGGAGGGTTAGGTGAGGATGGTGGGGCTGCAGCGGACCCCTGGCCACAGGTGTCGTACTCGGCCAAGGACCTGGTCAAGCGCATGCTGCACCCCGACCCTGCTCTGCGCATCCAAACGCACCATGAGATTTTCCCACCCCAATTTTCCCCTCCCCCCACTGTCAGGCCACCCATGGTTTTCCCACAAGAAGCAGTCCAACCGGCCACTGGGAGAGGCGGTGCTGTGAATCAAAAAGCTTTGGAGTCGACTCAAAAGTTCCCCCCCTCTCCCCCCACCTCCTTCCCCACGTCCTTCCCCACCTATCAGGCCACCCGTGGCTGTCCCACGAGAAGCAGTCCGACAAGCCGCTGGGAGAGGCGGTGCTGAAGCGAATCAAGAAGTTCTCTGCGGCCAACAAGATGAAGAAGCTTGCGCTCAAGGTGAGAGATGACTTGAGAAACCTTCAGTCGTATTAGGAACCAGTAACTGGCTGCTGGGAGCTGAGGCAACTGAGAAAGATTCTGAGGCCAACAAGATGAAGAAGCTGGCGCTCAAGGTGAGAGGGTTGAGAAACCTAAAAAACGACGTGAGAAACCTTCAATCGCAGGAGGAACCAGTGACTGGCTGTTGGGAGCTGAAGCGAATCAAGAAGTCCTCTGCTGCCAACAAGATGAAGAAGCTGGCGCTCAAGGTGAAGGGAGTCGTGGTATGAGAGCCATGTGAGTATGAGTGCTGCTGACTGCCAGAGGACCTGACTTAGGTGAAAAGTCTATGGAATCCCTGGAACACTCTTCGTGTTGATCAAAGTTCTGTCCTTGATTGTGCTCTGTTCCTGGCCTTCGCTGCTGTTCTCCTCCCATCCAAGTGATTGCGTGCAACCTGAGCCGCGAGGAGATCCTGGGGCTGAAGAAGCTGTTCAAGGGGATGGACATGGACGGCTCCCTTGCTCCTCTGACTAACCTTCTTGCCCATTTTCCATTTATCCCGTTACAGGTCATTGCGTGCAATCTGAGTCGCGAGGAGATCCTGGGGCTGAAGAAGCTGTTCAAGGGGATGGACAAGGACGGCAGCGGCAGCATCACGTTTGCTGAGCTCAAGACCGGCATGCAGAAGCTGGGCAACCCCATGTCGGAGGAGCAGCTCCAGCAGATCATGGAAGCGGTGAGAATGGGCGACGGGATGGTGGGATGAGGTACAAGGGCAGTAAGAATGGGGCATGCAGAAGCTGGGCAACCCCATGTCGGAGGAGCAGCTGCAGCAGATCATGGAAGCGGTGAGAATGGGCGACGGGATGGTGGGATGAGGTACAAGGGCAGTAAGAATGGGGCATGCAGAAGCTGGGCAACCCCATGTCGGAGGAGCAGCTCCAGCAGATCATGGAAGCGGTAAGAGGGGGAAGGCGGCGGGGGTGTGAGGTTGCATGCAAGTCTACATGGGTCAGCAAGCAGGGTGTGCAGAAGCTGGGTATCCCCAAGTCGGAGGAGCAGCTTCAGCAGATCATGGAAGCGGTAAGAGAGGGAGGATTGGACAAGACGAGGGTGACAGAAGCTGGGTAACCCCATGATTGAGGAGCAGCTGCATCAAATCATGCAGGTGGTATGTGGGAGAGGATGGGATAGGTGGTGCGATACGCGATACATTGAGAAGGGCAGGGTGGTGGGGCGAGGTTGTATGGGTGCGAGGGGTAGGGAGCAAAGAGGAAAACCCCACTCCCCCTGTCCTTCCCCTTGTCCCCCGACTCGACTACACAGAGCTCATCACGGCAACGCAATAGATGAGCAAGGTCGAGAATGAGGATTACATCCCATCACGCCCTCCCTCTCACACCACTCCAAACTCCCCATTCCTATCTTCCATCGGGTGGCAGGCGGACATGGACCACAGCGGCATCATTGACTACACGGAGTTCATCACACCCTCTCACACCACTCCTAACCCCTCTCCACACCTTCCCCTCTCCACGTCTTCCTCTCCCAGGCGGACATGAACCACAGTGGCACGATCGACTACACGGAGTTCATCACAGTATGTTCTGAGTTGTGGATCACCGTTCTCCCATCACTTCTATTCCCATCCCCCTCTTCACACCTCCTTTCCAGGCGGACATGAACCACAGCGGCACGATCGACTACACGGAGTTCATCACAGCATGCTAAAAGCTGTTGGGCCTTCTTCTCCCACTTACCTCACTTCCTGTCCCCTCTTTTCTTCGTGCGTGCATTCCGTTCCCCACCCAGGCGGACATGGACCACAGCGGCACGATCGACTACACGGAGTTCATCACAGCGACGATGCAGATGAACAAGGTGGAGAAGGAGGAACACATCTGGAAGGCCTTCCAGCACTTCGACCGCGATGGGAGCGGGTGAGATGGGAGAGCGGATGGGCGCGTGAGATGAGTTCAGAGATCTATGTGGTTCCTAACACTGCAACTGCATTTTACAGCAGGCTACACGATTGTAGATGAGAGGAGGTCTTGAAAACAATGCATCAGCTCTCTGGTTACCACCTGATGGTTACACCCTGTGACTCCGCACAATTTTCCCTCTTCCACGACAGGTTCATCACAGTGAGCGAGCTGAGGGACGCCCTGGCGAATGAGGACATGCTGGAGCCGGGCGAGCTGGAGCAGATCATTGAAGAGGTGGACACGGATAAGGTGAGAGGGGTGATGCAGTATGTTGGGTGTTACGGACGGTGGAGGGGAGAGATGTGTAAGGGATCAAGGTGAATGGGGACATGCTGGAGCCAGGGGAACTGGAGAAGACAATTGAGGAGGTGGACACGGATAAGGTGAGAGGGCGAGGGAGAACGGGACGGGAGTAGAGAGCCTGTGTTTGATGGGTGGGCAGGAACACTTCAGGTTAGAGGGAAAGTTTCATGTGTTTGGGAATGATGAGCATTGCAGCCATAATGAGGTGTAAGTCGAAAGCAGGAGATAAAACCAGCAACCTAACTCTCTTCTCATGTGCATGTGTGTGTGCACTGCATGCCCTTGGCTTCGCTCTTGTGTGTATTTCCAGAGCGGCACGATTGACTATGAGGAGTTTGCAGCCATGATGAGGAAGCAAGACCAGGAGACAGCCAGCGCACAGAAGCAGAGGCGGACTCGCAGTATCGGCGCGGACTACTATTGATTCTCTGCCGGTCAAATAGAAATGTCAGAAATTTCGGTAGGACTAGTGCGTAAAAACGGAAGTGCCCTTCTTACCTAGCTGCTCTCGGGTGCTTCAAGTACTGGTTCTTCGCGTTCCCTTCATTTTTGTAATACGGTATACATTAACCCCATGTTGATTTTCAAGCTGATGCTGTATTGAAGCCCGTGGATATGGGCGGCTCAGCGCGTTCACGAGTCACTTTTGTATCTGTCATCCGTCGTGGCGCAAAGCTGTTACAGACGGTTCAAAGAGGTTCAAAGTGGACCGTGACGCATTGAACAGTGAATGAACCGTAATGTGTTATGGCCAGGCAAAAAGGAGAAAACTTCCGTTGCCGGGACTTGAACCCGGGTCTTTCGGGTGAGAGCCGAATATCCTAACCGACTAGACTACAACGGATGAATGTTGAGAAAGTTTTATACTAAATCTTTTAAAACTGACAAGGTTATGGCTTCGCATGTTCGCCGTAGTTGTCGTTGGGATGTCGCGATGGCTCCTGAGCGTTAAGAAGCAGTCGCTGCGGCGAGCTAGAAGGCTCCTAGTCTCCGCGGATAAGCTTGGTAGGCGCGTGCGAAACCTGAAGCTCATCTGGAAGTTCGGAGCGGTCTGCATCGTCATTCTCCTCTTCCAAGGCATCGCAGGCCCACGTTGGGAACCGTACGTGGAATCTGGACCGTACGTTCGATCACAGTTCGTCGCAGAATTGGACGGTCAGGGTAGGGGTGCGTATGAGAGAGGGTTTGGGTGGCAGGAGAGGGGACAAACGACAAGGAGTACTTACGCAAATGCAGGAAGCGGGAGATACAATAACGAGAATGCGCTGTATTCGGAGGAGTTTGATCATGATGCGAGGGGAAGGCGTAAGTTTCAGGAGGAGCAGCGGCGAAAACAGCAGTTTAACAACCAGGCGGAGATAACTACGAGTTACGACTCTACGGCGGCTCAGCAGTCCAAACGGCAGGTAGAGTCACACCCCGGTATTGTCACAAGCCTAGCGACTTTACTATGGCGTTCCGTGTTCACACCAGCACCCCCTCCTGTCGACCAGGCTCCTTACTGTCACACTCACAGACTACGGAGCCAAAACGGCACCGAAGCCAGCAGCAGCAGCGACGGCAGCAGCAGGAATGGACATGGATTTGACTCGGAGGAGAGCAGAGGAAGGAGCGAGAAATTCACGGAGGTGGAAGGTAGAGGGAATAAAGGGGAGGATGAGGAGGAGAGGGAGGGGACGGAAGAGTCAGAGGAGACTGAGGAGGAAGCTAGGGAGAGAGAGCAGCTGAGGGAGAGGAAGAAGCTTCAGGAGTTTAACAGGAGACGCGAAGCGGCGCTTCTCAGTCGCGATCCGTCCACCCTTCGCTACGCTTACGTCACGCTCCTCTGTGATGACGTCATGGCGCCGGGAGCCCTGGTGCTGGTGCACTCGCTGAAGCGCACTGGCACGCCGCACGACGTGGTGGTGCTGACGATGAACGTGAGTGAGGGGACGGCAGCGCTGCTGCAGCTTCTCGGAGCGAGGGTGAAGCAGATCGAAGAGGCCATTCCGTACCCGTTTCCTGCGACGCCGAATAGGGTCGCCATCAATAAGCCATGCAGGTGGGTGGGTGGGGTGGAAAAATGTGGTGGTGCTTACGATGACCGTGAGTTCAAGTGGGTGGGAGAGGCGTTGTGCTTACGATGAATGTGAGTGAAGCGCACGGACGGGCACCCCGCACGACGTGGTGGTTCTGACGATGAACGTGAGCGAGGGGACGGCGGCGCGGCTGCAGCTGCTGGGAGCGAGGGTGAAGCAGATCGAGGAGGCCATTCCTTATCCCTTTCCAGCCACTCCGAACCGAGTCGCCATCAACAAACCGTGCAGGTGGGTGGAGTGGGAGAGGCGTTTTTTGGTAGATATTGGGGAGTGGAATGGTTCCCCCTTGCACCCCATCGCGCACGGGCACGCTGCACGACGTGGTGGTGCTGACGATGAACGTGAGTGACGGCACTGCGATGCGGCTGCAGCTGCTGGGAGCGAGGGTGAAGCAGATTGAAGAGGCCATTCGGTACCGAATCTGTTGATGGCGAATCTGTTTCCTGCTACTCCCAACAGATTCGCCATCAACAAGCCGTGCAGGTGGGTGGGTGGGTGGGAGAGGTGATTTTCGGTAGATACTGACGAGGTGACGTTTCGTCCCCTGCGTCCTATCCTCAGGCGATCTCACTCTTTTTTTTTTAGGCTCCAAAGGAACAAACCGTAGTTGAGCATTGCAGAGCAAGTTGCGATATCACTGATAATCATTTCCATGTGGGTTAAGCGCCATGCCAGCCCAGCCCCCAAACCCCCACTTCCTCCCTTCTCCACCCCACCCCACCCCCCCTTCCATCAGGTATTCCAAGCTGTTGATGTGGACTCTCACATCAACAGCTTGGAATACCACACCGACGTCTCGTCTACGTCGATGCGGACCTGCTCGTATTGAGCAGCCTGGACGGCCTCTTCTCCCGCGATGAGCTCTCTGCTGTATCCCTCCACCCATCCCTCTCCTCCCTACCTTCTCCTCCTCTTTTCCCTCTCCCGTCAGGTATTCCAAGCTGTGGATGTGGACGCTCACGGAGTACCACCGCTTGGTCTATGTCGATGCGGACCTTCTTGTAATGAGCAGCCTCGACGACCTCTTCTGCCGCGATGAGCTCTCGGCTGCACCGGACACCATCCCTCCTGACCGCTTCAACAGTGGCTTGATGGTGGTGGCGCCCAGTGACGACACGTTCAGAGACATGCTGAGCAAGGTGGGTGGTGCGGGAAGGCATGTGTATAGGGAAAAGGGGTGTAAGTGATGAGCTATCTGCTGCACCGGACACCATCCCTCCTGACCGCTTCAACAGTGGCTTGATGGTGGTGGCGCCTAGTGACGACACGTTCAGAGACATGCTAAGTAAGGTGGGTTTGCAAGCAGTAGGTGAAGGAGGGAAAGGTATGGGGAAGGGGAGGGGGTAGAAGGAATGAGCTTTCTGCTGCGCCAGACACCATCCCCTTTCTGACCGCTCCAACAATGGCTTGGTTTGGTGGTGGTGGCTCCTAATGATGACACTCTCAGGGATATGCTGAGTAAGGTGCGTAAGCAAGCAGTAAAGTGAGCTCTCTGCTGCACCGGACACCATCCCTCCTGACCGCTTCAATAGTGGGCTCATGGTGGTGGCGCCGAGTGACGACATGTTCAGGGATATGCTGAGTAAGGTGAGGAGAGGTGAAAGAAAGGTATATGGGGGTAGAGTAGAAGTAAGCAGGAATGAGCTCTCTGCTGCACCGGACACCATCCCTCCTGACCGCTCCAACAGTCGACTGACTTTTGAGTTGACTCAAAAGTCAGTTCACCGGACACCATCCCTCCTGACCGCTCCAACAGTCGACTGATGGTGGTGGCCCCGAGTGACGGCACCTTTAGGAATGTGCTGAGTAATGTGAGGTGTAAGTGAGTGAGCGAAAGGGATGGTGGGACGGGTGGGAGCAGTTTTTGAGTCACCTCAGAAGCGGTTCGTGCAGCCGCCGCAGCTCAGGGTGTTGCACTTCCCTCCCTCCCTTCCCCTTGTTTACCACCCCATTTCCTCCACTACCCCTTCGAGTGACTTTTGAGAATTCTCAAAAGTCACTCGAATATGTTTTCCACCCCATTTCCTCCACTATCCCTTCCTCCCCCACCTGCCTCTCTCCGTTCTCCATCCCCCCTCTCAGGTAGCAACAACCAAGTCACCCAACGTGGGCGATCAGGGCTTGCTCAACAACTACTTTTCCGACTGGTACTCTCAGGGTCCCTCCCACCACCTGCCCTACGCCGTCAACCCACTTGTTCGCCTCAGCCCGTCCCCTGACTCCGCTTCTCTCCCCACTGCTCCCCGTTCTCCTCCTATTCAGGTCGTCACCACCAAGTCACCCAACGTGGGCGATCAGGGCTTTCTCAACAACTACTTTTCCGACTGGTACTCTCAGGGTCCATCCCACCACCTGCCCTACGCCGTCAACCCACTTGTTCGCCTCAGCCCGTCCCCTGACTCCGCTTCTCTCCCCACTGCTCCCCGTTCTCCTCCTATTCAGGTCGCCACCACCAAGTCACCCAACGTGGGCGATCAGGGCTTTCTCAACAACTACTTTTCCGACTGGTACTCTCAGGGTCCCTCCCACCACCTGCCCTACGCCGTCAACCCACTTTTTCGCCTCAGCCCGTCCCCTGACTCCGCTTCTCTCCCCACTGCTCCCCGTTCTCCTCCTATTCAGGTCGCCACCACCAAGTCACCCAACGTGGGCGATCAGGGCTTTCTCAACAACTACTTTTCCGACTGGTATTCCCAAGGCCCCTCCCACCACCTGCCCTACGCCTTCAACCCGCTCGTGCGCCTCAGCGGGTGGGAGGGGTGGGAGAAGTTTGTGCAGCCGCAGCTGAGGGTGCTGCACTTCTCGGGGAGCACCAAGCCTTGGAACACCATGGAGGACAAGCAGGCAGGTGACTATACTGAAAGTGGTTAAGAGGGGAGTGAGCGTGTATCACAACTGGAAATGGAGTGGGTGGGTGGCAGCCTGGGAAGGGAACGATGGGGTGGGAAGAGATTGGAGGGATTGGAGGGGGGTGGGAGTGATCTGCGCAGCCACAGCTGAGCTGAGGGTGCTGCACTTCTCGGGCAGCACCAAGCCTTGGAACACCAAGGAGGACGAGCAGGCAGGTTACTATAACGGGAGTGGTTTTAACTTAACAAAGTGGGTAAACGGAGGTGACAGTACTGCAGGGCACGGCACTTTTTTTTGTGGGGAAATCAGAAAAACAAGTAGCGCAATAGCTGGCTTGTTGCACACATTGTCACCCCTCTTCTCCGCATTGAATGGCTCTCCACCCCACTATCTTGGCCCACATCTGGCTCGCTGCTCACAACAACATCCTGAACCTGAAGGCCCTTGGTGAAGGCACCGCACTCATTCTCTCTCCACCGCATTCAATCCTGTTGTGTGATGCAATCATACGCATTCACGTCTGTCTGCCTCCCATCATGTGTTCGTGCGTTGCATGCGTGGTCTGAGCGTATGCAAGAATTTGTGTTTTGTGCGGTTTGATTTTTCTGAGTGTGTGTGAATGTTATTTGGCTTGAGCAGATATGTGAAGTGACTCCTCTGCTCAAGAGCTTTCCGACGAACCAAGTATCGCTTCAATCGGAGCACGAACAAGAAAGTTACGAACGTTGGAAGTTCGTATGATTTTGATATTTGGTTGTGGTGACTATGGGAAGTTGTGGTGTTGACTCCATAAAGAGTACAGAATCTTGGGGGTTGGGAAATTCGTCAACATCACTGCAGATGCTGCCAAGTGGTTGGGAGGTGCCAAACCAGGTTGGCAAGTGTGGCCAAGTTGGGTGAGGTGGATGGCATGGGTTGGAAAGTGACAAAGGTCAAAGTTTGTTGCCTATGGGGAAGGGAATTGTGTGGTATGGGGTTTCCTTGGTTGGGGACTCCCTTGGGGCCTTCCCTCTCGTCCTCCTCTTCCCCTCCTACCTGGTTTAGTGCTACTCCAATGTTCTTTTGTTGGACTTGTGAGTTAATTGTGATTGAGTTAAATTTCTGTGGCAGCATACCCCCTAGTGCGCTGAAAAGCATAACTCGAGATATACTTCATATTTTGATACGATTCAAACTGGGAAATGTAGCCACGGTCTAGGGCTACAACATATTCGAAATTCGTGGGATTCTAACGGTTCACCTTTCGTCGACAACGTTTCTTGTGAAGTCGACGTTTCTGTCCAGAATTCTAAGCCAACGATTTTGTGATAATTTCGGCTCCTAAGCTTCTAGACTCCGTCCTTAGTCTCTAACAAGTGGTATCAGAGCTGATTAAGGACTTTTTGGAGAGTCTACTGAAGTGTGAAGACTCTCCTAGACCCACCATGGCCTGTGGGCGTGCCTAAATGGAGTTCTGGAGGTTGCATGTGACTTCCGCTAAGGGGAAACTCTGCCGAAATTTCGTTGGCGCCGACACTTGTGGAAATTGAGTGGGACTTCGGTGTGGACAGCAAGGGGGGAGCTGGAACCTGTGCTTGGGAGCAGAGGAAATGAGTCAAGGGAGTGGAGATGCAGCTGAGAAGAGGAATGAGCCGCCACCATCCAAGATCGAGGCATTGGATGGCTCCAACTATGAGGAATGGAGCGGGCGGATGCGGAGTGCATTTAAGCGCTACAAGCTGCTGAAACTTGCAATGGGAGAAGAGAAGATGCCCGAGGAAGGAGATGCCCGCGATCGGTGGATTGAGCGGAGCGCAGTGCTGTACGACTTGATTCTACAGTCGGTCAACAACGACATGTTCCAGCACATCAAGGATTTGGTGGAGCTCGATGACTCGGGACCGAAGGCGTGGAAGCTGCTACGCGACGTGGTTCAACCCAACACGCTGCCCATGGTGATCGTATTGGAGAAGGAGCTGGCTGCCCTCTCCATGCGGCCGGGAGATGATGTGAAGCCGGCCCTTGACAAGATCAAGGACACCTATGCGAGGATGGCAGCGGCGGGCAGCAAGGTGTCGGAGATGCAGCAGTGCACCAAAATCATCTCGGTACTCGACAACTCGTGGGACAACCTTATCCCCACCCTCAACGCTCAGCAGGACAAGTGGACGCCTGAGTGGCTACGGCAGCAGATCCTGCAGGAGGACTTCCGCAGGCGCCACACGGAAGGTGGTGCTGCCAACAAAACTGCTGAGGGGTATGGAGCTGCAGGAGGCAGCAGGGGGAGAGGGGGAGGGAGAGGCCGAGGCCGTGGGAGAGGCTTTGGCAGAGGAAGAGGCCGAGGTGACTACAACGAGGGGCATGGGAGCTCTGGTGGCAGGGGGAGCACCCGAATGGAGGGTGCGTGCTGGTACTGCAAGAAGGCTGGACACCCGTGGTTCAAGTGTTTCAGCCGGCCTGAAGGATGGGCGCCTCCAGGCATGAAGCCGCCAAGTGGTGAACGTGCACGAGGTGGTGCTGTGCAAGGTTCAGGTGCACAAGGTGATGGTGCACAAGGTAAAGCCGACCCTGGGATGTTCCTCATGGTTGAGGATGTGCAAGGGAGTGGGGGTGATGTGGGTTCAGTTGGGAAGGTTGTGATGCACCCCCTCACTCACTGGGTGATCGATTCAGGTTGCACGAGTCACATGACTCCACGGGCAGATTTGCTTGATGAGGTGAAGCCCCCTGGGAAGATAAAGTTTGTGGCTGCCGCTTCAGGTGCCTTGCTCCCTGTGATTGGTGTTGGGAATGCCAAGGTTATGGGAGCTAATGGGGGGCTTGTGGGGCTGGGAAATGTGCTGTTGGTTGAAGGTTTATCCGCTAACCTCCTCTCTGTGAGCCGGCTGCAGAAAAGCAAGGCCAAAGTTACGTTCGGCCCAACCAGCTGCCGTGCAAAGCTTGGGAAGTTGCTGTTGTGGGATTTGGAGGAGAAGAGCAGCTGCATCAAGGACCTGTGGCAGCTGCCCATCATCCCTTGGAATGGGAAACCACCAGCAACGGTAAAGGCAGCGGCAGCGGCTAAGGCAACTGCGGGAGGAGAGGAGAGTGCACCAACTGCTGGGGCCCTGGATGGAGTCAAGAAGGTGCAGCAGCCACAGCAATCACATGGTGAGGTGCTTGCTGGTGTGGATGCAACGGCTGCATGGGCAAAGGCTTCGTCTGGGAGTGGTGAGGCCGATTGGGAGACGTGGCACAAGAGGCTGTGCCACATCAACATTCCTATGCTGCAGAAGTTGGTGAAGGATGGGAGCTTGAAGGGATTGGAGGTGAAGGGGGCAGCGAAGGAGATTGGGAGTTGCCCTACATGCCTTGAGACAAAGTTCACCAAGTTCCCTTTCAGCAGCAGCACGGGACCAGCCAAGGTTCCACTCGCGCTTGTGCACATGGATGTGGTGGGCCCCACAAGGGCCCTTTCTCTCTCGGGCAGCCGCTACTTCTTGACCATTGTGGACGACCACACACGTGCGGTGTGGGTCTACCCTCTCAAGACTAAAGGGGAGGTGGCAGCGGCTGTTCTTAAGGAGTGGATGCCGAGAGCACAAAGGGAGAGCGGACACAAGGTCAAGGTGATCCGCACCGACAATGGGGGAGAGTTTATTGGCGCTGATTTTGAGGCGGTGCTGAAGAAGAAGGGGATCCAGCATCAGCTCACGGTGCCCTACAACCCTCAGCAGAACGGCGTGGCTGAGCGGTTCAACCGGACCCTGCAGGAAGGTGCTCGCACTCTCCTTGGGCGTGCAGGGCTGCCGGATCCGTTTTGGGTGACAGCACTGCGGCAGGTCGCTGTTGTGAAGAACCGGGTGCTGGCGACAGTGGGGGACAAGCAATGGGTCCCCTACACCAAGTGGTATGGGAGTGCACCAGCTGTGAACATGCTGAGAGCCTTTGGGTGCATGGTGGTGTTTCATGTGCCTAAGGAGAAGAGGGGAAAACTGGAAGCTTCTGGGAGATGGGGTGTGCACTTGGGGCTTGCTAAGGATCACAAGGGCTGGCTGATTTGGGACTTGACCAGCCAGCAGCTGACTGTGTCAAGGGATGTGAAGTTCCTTGAGTCCTTGTACTACAAAGAGTGGAAGCAGCAGCAGCAGAAGCTTCCTACAACACCACTGATCATTGAGGCCGATGAGGTGCAGCGGCCTTCGAGGCAAGTGCAGGTCACTGTCTCAGAGGAGGAGATTTCTGGGGTGACTGAGGATGGGGGAGAACCTGAGGTGGAGGAGCAGCAGCAGCAGCAGCAGCAGCCGCAGCAGCAGCAGCAAGATGCTCCACAAGGTGCCGCACGTCCGGCTGACCGTCCAAGGAGGGATGTGCGCCCTCCTAACCGGCTGACTTATCCGAGCTTTGGGAAGCCAAGTGTGGTAAGGGCTGGGAGTGTGGCTGAGCAGTGTGATGAGGAAGAGATAGCGCACTGCTACTTGGCAGCCGTCCCTGAGCCCAAGACACTTACCGAGGCCTTGAGTGGGCCCGATGCTGAGATGTGGAAGCAGAGTGTGAAGGAGGAGTATGACTCTCTGCTGGAGAACGAGACGTGGGAGCTGTGTGAGCTGCCTCCAGGGAAGAAGGCCATTTCTTCCAAGCTGATTTTCAGGCACAAGTACGGACCTGATGGGGAGCTGACCCGCTACAAGTCAAGGCTTGTGGCTAAGGGGTTCCAGCAGACAAAGGGGAAGGATTTTGATGATATCTTTGCTCCTGTGGGGAAAGGCACTACACTGAGGACGATGTTGGCAATGGCTGCAAACCGTGGCTGGAAGATCAAGCAGATGGACATAATCACTGCCTTCCTCAATGGAATCCATCTGGAGGAGCTGTACATGCTGCAGCCTGAGGGGTTGGATGATGGGAGCGGCAGGGTGTGCAGGCTGAAGAAGGCCATCTATGGCCTGAAGCAGGCTCCTCGCGCATGGTACCACAAGCTGGAGGAGACACTGCTGGCCGGGGGGTTCAAGAAGAGCGAGTGTGATCACAGCCTGTTCCTGCTGCAAGAGAAGGAGCAGTTCTTCATGCTCCTGGTGTACGTGGACGACATCCTGCTCTTCTCTGAGTCGTCTGCGATGATTGAACGTGTGGAGGAGATGCTGGAAATTCAGTTCAAGTGCTCCAAGATGGGAGATGTGAAGTACTACCTTGGGATGCATGTGGAGAGGGACCTTGACAAGGGAGTGTTGAGGTTGCACCAGAGGAAGTATTGTGAGGGGCTGGCTGAGAAGTATGGGCTGCAAGATGCAGGAAAGCCAGCCACCCCATTGCCTTCGGGGTTCACTGTGGAGCCCTGTGCTGATGAGGAGGTGGTGGGGGAGAGTGACAGGAAGTTGTTTCACTCCATGGTGGGGGCACTCAACTATGCGGCTAACCACACGCGGCCTGACATTGCCTTTGCTACATCCAGGCTTGCGAGTGTGGTTTCATGCCCAAGTCATGAGCAGCTGGAAGCGGCCAAGAGGTTGGTCCGCTATGTGAGCGCTACAGCATCAGTGGGCTTGGAGTACAGTGCTGTGCGACAGAGGCTGCAGAGGGGTGCAGCTGATTTGAGCAAGGGGGAGATGCGCTTGACTTGCTACACCGACGCTAGCTTCAACTCAGTGAAGACGGATGGCACCAGCATTGGAGGCTATGTGTGCCTCTTTGGAGGTGGTGCAGTGAGCTGGCGCAGCAAGAAGCAGAACGAGGTGGGGCTGTCCTCGTGTGAGACAGAGTACATGGCCCTGCATCATGGGGCAAAGGAGGTGGTGTGGCTGAGGCGTTTGTTGGAGGAAATCGGAGTGTGTCAGAGGGAGCCGACTGTGATTTTCTGTGACAATGAGTCGGCGGTGAAGCTTGCGAAGAATGCCTGTCTTCATGGCTTGACAAAGCACATCAGGCCAAAGTGACATTGGACAAGGATGCTCCTGGACAAGGAGGTGCGGCTGGAGATTGTGAAGACCCATCAGCAGGCGGCTGACATTCTCACCAAGCGCCTGGCTGAATCTGAGCATTGGAAGGGCATGAAGCTTGCTGGGATGAGTGTGCATTGAGGGTGCATGCTTGAGCTATGACATGTGGGATGATGGTTGGCAGCCAGAGGGGGAGTTTGTTGTGTGATGCAATCATACGCATTCACGTCTGTCTGCCTCCCATCATGTGTTCGTGCGTTGCATGCGTGGTCTGAGCGTATGCAAGAATTTGTGTTTTGTGCGGTTTGGTTTTTATGAGTGTGTGTGAATGTTATTTGGCTTGAGCAGATATGTGAAGTGACTCCTCTGCTCAAGAGCTTTCCGACGAACCAAGTATCGCTTCAATCGGAGCACGAACAAGAAAGTTACGAACGTTGGAAGTTCGTATGATTTTGATATTTGGTTGTGGTGACTATGGGAAGTTGTGGTGTTGACTCCATAAGGAGTACAGAATCTTGGGGGTTGGGAAATTCGTCAACATCACTGCAGATGCTGCCAAGTGGTTGGGAGGTGCCAAACCAGGTTGGCAAGTGTGGCCAAGTTGGGTGAGGTGGATGGCATGGGTTGGAAAGTGACAAAGGTCAAAGTTTGTTGCCTATGGGGAAGGGAATTGTGTGGTATGGGGTTTCCTTGGTTGGGGACTCCCTTGGGGCCTTCCCTCTCGTCCTCCTCTTCCCCTCCTACCTGGTTTAGTGCTACTCCAATGTTCTTTTGTTGGACTTGTGAGTTAATTGTGATTGAGTTAAATTTCTGTGGCAGCATACCCCCTAGTGCGCTGAAAAGCATAACTCGAGATATACTTCATATTTTGATACGATTCAAACTGGGAAATGTAGCCACGGTCTAGGGCTACAACATATTTGAAATTCGTGGGATTCTAACGGTGCACCTTTCGTCGACAACGTTTCTTGTGAAGTCGACGTTTCTGTCCAGAATTCTAAGCCAACGATTTTGTGATAATTTCGGCTCCTAAGCTTCTAGACTCCGTCCTTAGTCTCTAACAAATCCCACTCCCCCCCAGTTCCCCACCACTCGCAGCTTGGACCACATCTGGCTCGCTGCTCACAATGACATGCTGAAGGCTCTTACAAAAGCCATGGCTAACACTAAAGCAGCTGGGAATGGAGATGGTGGCAGCACTGACGCAAGTGAGCTGTCTGGTAGGGATGCAGCAGCAGGGGAAGGGGATGGGGGAGTTGAGACCCTTGGGACGGGTGGTGAATATACCCCTCTTTCTTCCATCTGCCAAGAGGAGGGAGCGACCACCAATGGCAGGTGCGCATTTCACATGATGCGATGCTGCAAGTGTCTCGTTTTCAGGCGCCTCATAACTAGAGAGCGGCGAGCGGTGAATATGCCCGTCTTTCTTCCATTTGCCAAGAGGAAAGACTGACAAGTGCCAGGCGATTTTTTGGAGTTGCTTCAACTTTCTCGTTCAAGATTCGGCTAGTGATGAATCGTGTCGAGGTTTCTGTTTCTGCTTGTATAGTTAAGGTGTGCTCATGTGTGCATACATGTGCATTTATACGTACATGTGCATGTATGCGTACATGTGCATCATTCCATCATTCCGTCCTAGCATCCATCCATCCATCCTGCTGCTTCTCTAACTCTTTCATATACACGTGTTTATCTGTTCCCACCCCTGCAGTGTGCGCTACGACAAGCTGACCGTGGTGCTCACAGCAACAGGCAGCAGCACACACCAAACCATGCAAGCCACACACCACTACGCCTCAGCGCCTGCTGCTTCTCTAACTCTTTCATATACACGTGTTTATCTATTCCCACCCACCCCTGCAGTGTGCGCTACGACAAGCTGACCGTGGTGCTCACAGCAACAGGCAGCAGCACACACCAGACCATGCAAGCCATTCGCCACTACGCCTCAGCGCCTGTGGTTCAAGACATCTTCGTCCTTCTGTCTGACGACAGCCCACTCGCCCAAAGCAGTGGCAGCAGTGGCAGCGCCAGCAGCAGCCCCTTTCCCCTGGTGCAGGGCGAGAGGCCTGTTGTTGTTCTCCCACTCCGCAACCCACCAGCAACTGCTCGCTTCCGACCCATCCCGTGAGTACAAGTTATGGAATGATTCTCTGTTTTATACGACAACGATGGCAGCAGTGGTAGCAGCAGCAGCAGCCCCTTCCCTCCAGGGCAAGGAGAGAGAGAAGTTTATTTTTCCACTCGGCAACCCAGCAGCAATTGCTTGCTTCAGACCCATCCTGCCTACGAGTGCACCCCCCCAAAAATCCGATTACCTCGGCTTCATCCCCTCCACTCCACACACCTCTGCCGCTCTTCTTTCTCCGCAACTACCACTTCCCTTGTCTCCTCTTGCGCCCTCTACCCCTTTTCCCAGCAGACCTCTCTTTTTGAGGCGCCTCAAAAACCTCCGCTCCACACACCTCTGCCTCGCTTCTTTCTCCGCAACTACCACTTCCCTTGTCTCCTATTGCGTCCTCTACCCCTTTTCCCAGCGACATCTCTCCACAGTGACAGTCCTTGTAATTGATGACACCATTCTGGTGCCCCCTGCTGCTCTCCTCGCCACATCCCTCCTGCGATGGAGGGAAGCACCCAACCGCCTGCTCGGATTCCTCCCTTCAGCCCACTTCCGCCTCTCCAAGGGCGTCCTCAAAAGGCGACTGACTGGGAGACTGGCCGTGCATGCTACCCTGGGTGATTATCCCATGCTCCCTTCTCCCTTCCTGTCTCTCTCTCTGCCCGTTCCCCTGTCAGCTCCCTCACCACAGCTGCTGTCTTGGTGATAGACGACACATTCCTAGTGCCCCCTGCTCTCCTCGCCACATCTCTCCTGCGATGGCGGGAAACCCCCAACCGCCTCCTCGGTTTCCTCCCGTCCGCCCACTTCCGCCTCTCCAAGGGCGTCCTCAAAGGGCGACTGGCCGTGCATGCTTCCCTGGGGCCGGGAGGGGACTACTCAGTGGTTACCGGTGCTCTTCTGCTGCATAGAAACTACCTGCATTATTTTTGCTGCACTATGAGGGAGGAGGCGAGGGGGTATTTGGAGTGGGGGAGCGAGGGAGACGGTGGGGGAGAGGGTGGGGGAGAGGGTGCAGGAGGGAGTGAGGGAGGGAGTGGGGGAGGGAGTGAAGGCGGTCTGTCGAATCCGGCGGCTAGGGCGTGTGCTGATGTGGCAATGAACATGTTGGTGACTCATCTGTCTGACCTGTCACCGCTGACTGTGTACGACTCAACACAGGAGGTCCAAGGGCCCTTCCCCTTGCCGCCTGCTCCTGCCATGTAAGTGGGCCATGTGAGTGGGGCATGTGAGTGGGGCATGTGAGTGGGCATGTGAGTGGGGCATGTGAGTGGGGCATGTGAGTGGGGCATGTGAGTGGGGCGTGTGAGTGGGGCATGTGAGAGTGACATGTGAGTGTGACTTGTGACTGAGTGTGACAATGTGAGTGTGTGACATGTGAACGTGATATGCTGACATGCCAATTTCAGTCCGCCATGCCATTTGTGCTCTAAAGCGTGTGCGCTCCGCCGTTCGAGTCGACTCAACCGAAATTTCCGTTTGAGGTGTTGGCTGCATTCAGCTGTCTGCTCTGCGCCTCTTCCCGATATGATTCGCACTACCCAAGTACCTGAGTGCCGATTGTTATTCTGGTCTGTAAGCCAAATAGTGCTCTTTGCGCCCTCCCAACACAACCAACGCATTTGTACCTCCATCCAAACCACACCCCCCCTCTCCTCCCCTTTCCCCGCCTTTTCTTCCGCCCACCGTCCACCCTACACCACAGGGGGAGGTGTCTCAACGACCTTGCAACCCACATGGGTCTCATGCCTCTTAAGAGCACAATCGATGCAGTCACAGTCATGCATAAAGACTCATACATATACGTGAGTGTGAGCAGTGTTCAGTGCAGCTATAAGAGGTCCTACAGTTAGGTTCCATTTTATCCCTCTCCAGAGCACCAGCACAGTCACAGTTATACATGAGCACTTTTCCAAACCTCAAACAGGTTCAGGTCGAACATGTTCGTTTCAAACATGTTCGAACCTTCTTTTTTGGAAATAAGGTTCAACCGAACATGTTCGGGGTTCGTCCCGAACATGTTCGGTGTTCGAAATGTTTATGGGGACAAATCCCGAACACCAAACATGTTCGGGAAACGTCCCCGCTTTTCCAAACATTAGATGTTCAGAAAAAACGAGCGCGACATTTGTCGCGCTGGTTGGATGCAAGTCCTATGGAAACCATAGATCGAGGACATTTCGACCCAACTTAACGGTTACTTAGGTTAATTAGTCGCCAGTTAGTCGTTTTTCAAAGTAACATACGTTCTTCCCACTCGCCCTGCCCTCTTTCCCCGTGTTTCCCACCCCCTAAACATGTATGGGCAGGTGTTGTACTTAAAGTCGTGAAACAGGAGTGGTGAAATCTGTTAACTCAGTGAATCTGCTAAGTCCTTATTTTCGAACACCAAACATGTTCGGAATTGGCCGAACATGTAGAGGTTCGGCGAACTTTAAACATGTTTGCCCACACTAACCAAACACCGAACATGCGAAATGTGAATATAATGTTCTGGCGAACAGAACATGTTCGGTTCGCCCAATTATACTGTTCGGGGACGTTCGGGCAAACACGTTTGGTGTTCGCCCGTTGCTCATGTCTAGTCACAGTCATGTACAAGGACTTGAACATATACGTGAGTGTGTGCAAGGGCAGTGCAGTGCAGCTGTAAGAGCACATGTTTTCTCTTCTTCTCTCCTGCCTCTCTCCAAGTAGAAAACCAAGTTTCGTTCTCTACTCTCACCCTCCGCGAATCTTCTCCCCATCCTCAATGACTCTCTTTCCCGCGCATTCACTCTCCCCTCCGCGTGTAATGAGTCGAGTTTTGAGTCGACTCAAAACGCGAATGTTCTCCCTCATCCTCAATGCCTCTCTTTCCCGCGCATTCACTCTCCCCTCCTCTCCTCTCCTCCACACCCCTCCCCCTACCTCCACCACTCTTTCCACCTCTTTTTTCCAACCAGGAGCCAAAGGTTCGTGTGCCCCCGGCGCCCCTCCTCTTCTCCCCCATTCTCAACGCATCCCTGCCAACCACCTTCCTCCACCTCATTCCCCGCCGTTACCGCCGCTTCCTTCCTGCTTTGGATAGTGCCCACCCGCTCGTGCTATCTGTTCCCGGGGATGCTGCTCCCAAGCACGCTGTGTGCCTACGGGTGAGTCTTTTGAGCTACTCCCAACCCGCCCAGCCTAGAACAGGGTGAGTTGTCAAACCCGCAAAAATTTAGACCTTGGCTTCTCTCCTTCTCCCCCCTCTTGGGGAGCGCCCACCCGTGTGTGCTCTCTGCTCCGGGGGATGCTGCTCCCAAGCATGCCGTGTGCCTGCGGGTGAGTCAGGAAGAGCCAGATAGAACCTGCTTTGCTGTTGTTGTTTGTTGTCCCGGTGAGTAGCCTTGACCACCGCTTCCTCCCCGGCTTAGAGAGCACCCAAACGTGCGTGCTCTCTGCTCCGGGGGATGCTGCTCCCAAGCATGCCGTGTGCCTGCGGGTGAGTAATCTAGGCAGCAACCTCACAGGGTGAGTTGTCAAACCCGCTCAGTCTAGACCGGGAATTCCTTTCTTCCTCCTTTGGAGTGCTCCCACCCGCGCGTGCTGCCCATTCCCATTGGCTTGAGGTAGGGGCGCGTGCTGCCCAGTCCCAGTGTTGCTGCTCGCAAGCACGCCGTGTGCCTGTGGGTGAGTCCTCTAGGCCACCCAGCAGCTTCTAACAGGCATAGTTATCAGACCCACTTAGCCTGCCTTCCTTCCTGCCCACCTTGGAGAGCACCCACCACCCGCACGTGCTGCCCATTCGCAGTGCTGCTGCTCGCAAGCACGCCGTGTGCCTGCGAATGAGTGCTTCAAACCACCCGCTCATGCTGGCTGTTACCCGTGCCGGCCATTCTCAGCGCACGCGTATGTGCATGCACGCACACATGCACGCACTCTAACCCGCATGCACACTCACACATCCCAGCTCTTCCTCTTCCCGCCCTGCTCATCCTTTCATCCCGTCACAGGTAGCTGAGGAGTCCGAACCAGCAGTGGAGCTCTCTCTCTCCGAAGCCATCTCATCCCCTGTCACCACACTCCACCTCTCCGGAACCACTGTCTTCGCCTCCACTCCCTCCACCACCACCATCACAAGCACAAGCAGCAGCACAGAGAATGATGATATCACACACAAGGGGGCGGATGCAGGTCTGGGGGCGCTGCTAGGGTTTGACGATCCGTTTGCAGTGTTCCATCTGGCAGCGAGATTAGCCGCGTGGAGGAGGTCCGAAGGGTGCTTTGCTCCCTCCCGTCTACTGCTCTTCCACGGGGATAGACTGCAATCAGCAGTGAGTAAACATACTCCCTTGGAAATTTTTGGAAATGGCTATTTGTCTCCTTTCTGCCTCTTTTTGATTCGACTCAAAAACAGGCCTTTCTTTCTTCTCCTGGATAGGCACCGCATACCCCCCGTCCCTCTTTCTCCGCCCGTTCTCCCTGCTCACCTTCAACCCCATCCCAGCTGCTCCCTGCTTGCTCCACGCCTCCCCACGGGTGGAGACGCCGCCTTCCCTCCCTTTGCCCTCAATCGTGCATTACCCTTCAGCCCCTCCCCCCTGCTCCAATTCCCCTCTCCCTCCCACCCTTACCCCCTCTCCAAGCTGCCCCACGTCTCCTCAAGGGCTATAAGTCATTTGCTCCCAATCGCCCCTTTCCCCTTCCGTCCCTCTCCTTCCCTCCCATTTGCTTCACCCCCCCCTTCTCCCTCCCAGCTGCCCCACGCCTCCCCATGGGCATCGCTGCTACTCAAGGCCACCCTTGGAGATGCCGCCTTTCCTCCATTTGCTCCGCCCGCCACCACCACCACGGCCACTGCCACCAGCACTGCTGCCAAAGCCTCTACTGCTGACACCAGTTCTTCAGTGGTGTGTTTTGATCGCGTGGTGCTGCTGCGAGATCCCGTGCTGCCTGCTGCTGCTGGTGATGATAATCTCGAACATTCAGAGCACGCTGCAGCCTCTGCCATAGCTAAGGAGCAGCGGAGCAGCAGTGTTGATGGTGGTGGCGGCAGAGGTGGCGGCAGCAGCAGTGGCAGTGGGGATGCTGATACAGGGCTTGGCTGTGACAGCCGTGCAGCCATTGTCCGATCAGCCCTACGCCATACATGCCGGTATGTGCATATGCCATCCAAGAAAGGCTGGTAGGAAGATAGATATTGACCCCTCAATAACGCTCAATATTTTTGAAGAACCTTAACGATCGGACTGTGACGGCCGTGTGTCACCATGCATGCTGGAATGATGCCATCGGTTCTCCCTTAACCTCATCCAGTTTTTGTCTTCTCTTTCCCCTCCCCTCTTTTCTTCCCCTCCCCGGTTTTCTTCCCCTCCCCTCTTTTCTTCCCCTCCGTTTGTTTCTTCCCCTCCCCCTTTACTCCACCTCTTTCTTCCCCCTTCCACCCCCTTCCACCCCCTTCCACCCCCTTCGGCTCCTTATCTTTTTTCTCACCTCTCCTTCGTTTTTTTTCCTCCCCACGTTTTTTCCCTCCTCCATACTTTGCTGCCCTTTCCCCTCTTCTGACTCTCCCCACCTCTCAGTCTCCAGCCGCCCGTCCGCTCCTCTCTAACCATCCTCATGTCTAACCCTCTCTCATGCTCCCTCTTCCTCTTTCCCCCGCTTCTTCCCCCCACTTCTCCTCCCTCCCCTCTCCCCACCTCTCAGTCTCCAGCCGCCCGTCCGCTCCTCTCTAACCATCCTCGTGTCAACCCTCTGCACCTCTTTCTTCCCCCTTCCACCTGCCCCCTCTCCGTACCCCCTACACCCCCCGCTCCCCTCTCCCCCTCTCTCAGTCTCCAGCCGCCCGTTCGCTCCTCTCTTGTCATCCTCATCGCGGGTTCAGACGCTGCATGGAGACAACACATGCCGCCCCCCTTGCACCCCGTCAACCTGACTGCCGCCCTGCACAAGGAGTGCTCCCGTGCACATCTGCCCTGTGAGGTGGTGCAAGCACAGGAGGGTGATGACCCATGCACCGATCAGGTCAGTTCTGAGATGCTGTTTCTACGCACCTCAAAAGGACCAACCTGACTGCCGCCCTGCACAAGGAGTGCTCCCGTGCACGTCTGCCTTGTGAAGTGGTGCAAGCACAAGAGCACAATGATCCATGCACCGATCACGTCAGTGCCTTAACACAGCTCACATGCCACTGCAAGCACATATCACGCAACCCAAGACAGTCATTTCCTGTGAAGTGGTGCAAGCACAAGAGCACAATGATCCATGCACCGATCAGCTCAGTGCCTTAACGCCGGCCCTACACACTCTTGCAATGCAAGCGGGGTGCTCCCGCGCTCATCTCCCCTGTGAAGTGGTGCAAGCACAAGAGCACAATGATCCATGCACCGATCACGTCAGTGCCTAAACGCCGCCGACCCTACACAATCTTGATTCATGTCAGCCCCTTCACACCACTCTCTCCACCACTCTCTCAATCACGTGAAGTGGTGCGAGCACAAGAGCACAATGATCCATGCACCGATCACGTCAGTGCCTAAACGCCGCCGACCCTACACAATCTTGATTCACGTCAGCCCCTTCACACCACTCTCTCCACCACTCTCTCAATCACGTGAAGTGGTGCGAGCACAAGAGCACAATGATCCATGCACTGATCAGCTCAGTGCCTTAACGCCGACCCTACACACTCTTGATTTGCCTCAGCCCCGCTACACCACTCTCTCCACCACACTTCCTTCAACTTGAGTTGAATTTGGAGGCGCCTCAAAAATCAACTCAACACGTCAGCCCTGCCACACCACTCTCTCCACCACACTTCCTTCAGCTTCTCTCCGTCCGGAGCGTCGAATGTAAGAGTCACTCACTGTTGCTGTTCACTCAGTTCCCCATGCACCGATTTCCTCGTCTGTCAATCATCTCCTGTTTCTTGTTTTGGATGCGAGCCGATCTGGTGCTGCTGCCATGGGTCTCTGCTTGTCCCACCAACACCACCTCTTCCTCTGTGACAAATAAATCTCTGTTGGTGATTTCCTTGTTCTCTTATCCTTCATTTCTCCTGCTTGTCCTTCCAGGTTCCGGCATGGATGCAAGCTGATCTGCTGCTGCTGCCTTGGGTCCCTGCTGCACCCACCAACACCACCACTGTCAATAAAACCCAAGCCAGAAAGCTGCGGGAGAGGCAAAGAGAGGAATTGGAAAGACACTACACGCCAGAGCTGCTACAGTATTCTGTCCTGCTGGCTCCTGGATCCTCTTTCGCACATCTTTACCCTGCCCGGACCCCGAGAGCGCCACTCGAGCTTGCCCAGAGAAAGCTGGGGTGTTTTGGGATTGCGTACTCCCAACTGCCCGTGGGCCAGGGTTCCAGCTTGGGGTTTCAAGGGGTGTTGAAATGGATAAGGGAGCAGCTAAAAGGATGGGAAGGGAAGGGGGGAAGCAAGGTTGAGAGGAAGGGAGTGAGAGGAGAGGTAATAGAGGATGATGAGTATGCTTGTGCGGGGAGGGAAGTGGAGAATGTGGGCGCTCAACATGAGGAGGAGGATGACCTATGGGACTCAGATGAGAACCCTGGAAGTGATAAGAAAACCTAGGAACAGATGCTAGGTATTGTGTGTGCCCTGTGTAAACGCTAATGCAGTAAGCTCACCACTTAGTGGTCATCAACACATTGGCGCTAGCTCATAATGTAGGGGAGGATAATTCGTAACATGATGTTGCAACAGGCGTTATGAGCTGATGTTGACATGGTCGAACACGCGGAGAATCACCATGAGCCCAAACTGGCCCACAACAGCAAGCCTCACTGCCCAATGGGGAAATCGTTAAGGCGGCTCAGTAAAAAACATACCATCATGAGCTGATGTTGACATGGTCAAACACGCGGAGAATCACCATGAGCCCAAACTGGTCCACAACAGCAAGCCTCACTGCCCGGCCTGGAAACTGTTCGCCCTCAGTCGAGTAGAATGAGACTTCCTGCCCCTTGGAGGAACAACTGGGCACGTTTTGTACACCACTGCTGCTGCTGCTGCTGCTGCCAGTCTTGGCGAGTGGGGTACTGGTGATCCTTTCTTTAGGCGGCTCAAGATCACTGTTGCTGCCCGTGAGTAGTGGAGAATCATTGATCCTTTCCCTAGCCTCAAGATCACTGCTGCTGCCCGTGAGTAGTGGAGAATCATTGATCCTTTCCCTAGCCTCAAGATCACTGCTGCTGCCCATGAGTAGTGGAGAATCATTGATCCTTTCCCTAGCCTCAAGATCACTGCTGCTGCCCGTGAGTAGTGGAGAATCATTGATCCTTTCCCTAGCCTCAAGATCACTGCTGCTGCCCGTGAGTAGTGGAGAATCATTGATTCTTTCTTGAGGCGACTCAGGACTATGGCTGCTGCTCGTGGGGAGTGGGGTGCCGGCGAGCCTGACAACCTGAGAGAGCCTGGTAGCAGGGTTTGTTGCACGTAAGAGAGAGAACATCCAGGGGGAGAAGGCGTTTTTCCCCCCTTTTTCACCCTTTGTTGATGCAGGAATTGGGAGTCAAATACGGGTTAACACGCCATGCTAGAGGGTGAGAGCGAGAGGAAACGGGATTGGGAGAAATGGCGTACAGTGCCGTACGATGAACTTGGAGATTCTTGAGACTTTTGCCTCAGAAGTATTTTGACGAGCCTCATACGGTAAGAAGAAATGGCGTACGGTGCCATACGATGAACTTGGAGATTCTTTTGAGAGCTCTCAAAAAGTGACTCTGATGAAGTCCCATGTGTTGTGAGGGACCATTGTGTACTGACGAGTTCAATAACACGCAGAATGATTAGTGTAATGACATGCATAGCGATTGGTGTAAGATGACTCAAAAGCCACGTACCACGCAGGCGTTAGCTCTTGCGATGCGCTCACAGGAACGACCACTTCAGGCTGCAACGAGAGAGAACGAGAGTGTAAAAAAAACAGGGAAAGATAGTGTGTGGGTGGTTGGGTGGGTGGGGCAAAGATAGTGTGTGGGTGGGTGGGTGGGTGAGGCAAAGCGGGGGACAGCAGCCGAGGAACGATCGCAGCAGAGAAGATGGAAGCATGCGACGAGGCGATGAAGGAAGAGTAATGCGACAAAGATCGTCATTACTCCTCCGATGCCAGGAGACGAGGTGAATGTTAATCGTGACCTTTGAGTTGACTCAAAAAGACCTGCACTCGCATAATGACTCTGACAGCCCAGCAGCATGGCAACATGGGCCCTACACAGCGTACCCTTTGAGAGCTCTCACAAGCAACTCCACACAGCGTACCTTGTCTGGATGCTCCCCTCGTTTGTAGCACATGATAGCAAGCATATTCAATGGGTTCTGGTGGGGTTTCTGACCGGCCTCTGTACCCAAACCTTCTTGCTGCTTCTCCCCCTCCCTCTGCCTATCTAACTGCCGCTGCTGCTGCTGCTGCTGCTGCTGCTGCTGCTGCTGCTGCTGCTGCTGCTGCTGCTGCTGCTTCTGCACCTGGTGCTGATGCTGGTGCTCCTTTTCTGCATTCTTCTCCCCCAAATGCCCTTCTACACGTTCCCTTTCTGAATGCCCTTCGCCAGAGCTTTCCACTCTAAGTGTAGCGCCTCCTTGCCCCCTCTCCATCGGCCCCTCCCTCTCCGACTTCCCCTCCCCTTCCAGCCTCTCCTCTTCCACCCTTCCCTCCCCTTCCGCCCTTCCCTCCCCTTCCTCCCTCCCCTCCTCCGCCCTCTCCCCATCCGCCCTCCTACTTTCCGCCTTCCCCTCCCCTTCCGCCTCCTTCCCACCACTTTCTGCCAGGAAAACTACCTCCACTCGTCTCCACCAATCAGCGGCTGCCAGCTTGGACAGCGCCATGTAAGCTTCCAGAGGCGAGGCTGGCCAATCACAGGGTTTGATGGAATGAGGGGCGGAAAGGCGAGGAGAGGAGGGATGGATGGAGGGATGAGGGGAGAGATAGGTGGAGGCGAGGGGGACAGGTATGGAGGAGGAAAGAGAGGAGGGACGGGAGGAGGGAAGCGAGGAGCAGAGGGAGAGGAACCGATGCCATGGGGGGAGAGAATCCACAACCAATGGCCGCGAAATGCTGCTGCCGTTGGTGCTGCTGCTGCTGCTGCTGCTGCGAATCTCGCTGCTGTTTCCGTTGCTGCTGCTGTCGCCATTGCAGCCGTCTGTGTCGATGACAAGGAGTAACTTCCGGCATGGCTCCTGACTCACGTTCGGAACGGATCCCGCTCCTCCAACACCACCGATACCACCACTACCGCTATCCTGCGTCATTGCCGCTGCTGACGGCGTCAAGACCACCGAACGGCTGTTGGAGGAGGGGAGTTGCTGTTGATTGGAGTCCATTCAAATTCGTTATTGGAGTCCGTTCAATTTCGTTATTGGAGTCCGTCAATGACGGCAGAATTGATCTCTGATGTTGGAATCGATTGTGTCCGTCTCAAGCCGGGCGAGTAACCTTCCTGCCTCGCAACCTCGCCAACCGACCCTCGCTCTTTCGCCAGCTCAAAATGTTAGAGAGCCCTACGACAGCAAGGGCCCTCGACGACTTGGCAAGACAACTACGCTAAGACGGGCATTGAATGACACCAACGCAAGGAGTTACGATTCTTGGGAAGCGTGCCACTTCCTAGCAAGTCTATGGTTGTCATGTGTGGTGTTGCCTAGTTGGAGTTGGTTGGTTGGGGTGGCGTGCGAGAAAGGCCATTCCGCTGCTGAGTTGGGTTGAACTTCTACGAGGCGCGTTCGCCCACCTGCACGTCACTTTCGTGAGGTTGGGTTACTGCGCAGTGCCACGCTGTAATGAATACGAATTCATTACTGTAGAGGCTGTTCATAGCGAGGACAACCCAGAGCACTTCGCGTCAGTTTCGAGGTTCGGCCTACACTTCGGCCCGAACCACTTCCGAGTCGCCCCGCCCTCCTTAGACCGTCGCGCGCCCTCCTTAGACCGTCGCGTGCCCTTCCCTCCGCCTGTCGCGCGCCCTCCTCCGTAAATCTTCCTGCACACCTGCGTGCACTTACCGCACACCTGCGTGCGCTCACCGCACACCTGCGTCCGTGCACTTCCAGCACACCTGCGTGCACTTACCGCACACCTGCGTGCGCTCACCGCACACCTGCGTGCGTGCTCTTACCGCACACCTGCGTGCCCTTACCGCCCACCTGCGTGCACTTACCGCATCCCTTTGTGCGCTTACTGCATCTCTCTCCCCTTCACATGTGCCCTGGTCCCACGCCATTCCTACTGCACTTGACTCCCGGCTCAGCGGCTGGCAGCCGCTCTTCCCTCCGGTAGCGCCACCTAGGTCCGGTTAGAGCCCCGCCCCACGACTATTTTCTCGCCGACTGTCTCTCGTCGGTTTCCCCGCTGGCGTCCCTAGCCCGCCGTAGTTTTCCTCCTCGTTCTTAGCTCCGCCTCCGCCGTGCTCCAGTCACCACTAGCATGGGCTCCGCTATGGAGGCCCGTCGCCTCCATTTCGATGCTGAGGGACGCCCGATCGAGTTCGGTACCTGGCAGCGCCAGACCACACGTTTTCTCACCAGCCAGCGACAGGACGGCGCCACTCTGTGGGCTCACGCGTCTGGTGCCCTACAGGCCCCCCCGTCCCCCGCCGCCCTGCCGACCACCCCGGAGCCGACTCCTACGGCCCAGACGGAGTACGACCGTCGGGTCCTGGCCAGGGACGTGTGGCTCTCGCGTGACGCTGCCGCCGCTCTCACACTGTCGGAGCTTCTCCCCCCGACTGAGGCCGCCCACTTTGACCAGGTGGAGACAGCCCAGGGGGTGTGGGATGCTATTGTTGCCCGCTACTCCACCCCCTCCTCTGCCTCCCTCAGTCGCCTCCTCATGCCGTTTGTGTTTCCCGACCTAGGCTCGTTTGCGACTGTTTCCGACCTAGTGACTCACCTCCGCTCGCTTGACGCCGGTTTCCGTGCTGCCTGTACCGACGCACAGCTCCTTGTTGCTCCCCCCCCCATGTGGCTCACTGTGCACTGATTAGTCACCCGCCTCCCTGACCGCCTTGCCACTGCCCGCGACGCGCTTCTTCAAAAGCACCCCACTGAGCTCACTATAGACCTCCTTCAGACTGCTCTCGGGACCATCGAGAGCAGCCTCCTCGCCGTTGCCTCCGCCACTGATGCGGTGGCCCCCCATCTCTTTGCGGGGTGTGCCGCCCCTCAGCTTCCCACTTTCACCTCTACCCGCGCTTCTGCTGCTGTGTCGGTCTCTGAGGACACCGCTGCCGTTTCTGCCGCAGACTGGCAGAAACGGGGCAAAAGTGGCAAGAAGGGCGGGAAGGGGGGAGGTGGGGGCGGTGGAGGTGGCGGTGGAGGTGGCGGTGGAGGTGGGAGCGGCGGTGGTGGCGGAGGCGGCGGCGGCGGCGGCGGTGGTGCGCCAGGGGGAGGGGGCCTTGGAGGAGGTGCAGGACAGACAGGCCCACCCACAGGTGGTGGCCCGACCGGTGGGGGCGTTGCCCCCCAGCAGCAGCAGCCACAGCAGCACCAGCCACAGCAGGGACAGCAGCAGCAGCAGCAGCAGGGACAGCAGCAGCAGCAGGCACCGCATCAGTTCCAGCAGTGGGGGCCCCCGCTGCAGTGGGGTCCGCAGCAGCACTGGGGTCCCCCGCCGCAGTGGGGTCCGGGAGGCCCTGGGAGCACCGGCCGCAGCAGCAGCTCTTCCAGCTGGGCCCCTCGCCCCCCTCGCCGTGACGCTGGCCCCTGCACCCACTGGTGCCTCACCGGGCCGGGCAGCCCCTGTCTCTGTGGTCGCGACGACCACTCTGCCGCGCGGTGCTTCCGCCGCCTCGACGACCTCTACCGGGCTTGTTGGGGCCCTCTGGCGGTCACGCCTCGCTGGTCTCGTCTGTTAGCCCGTAAGATTGATGTCTTTGATCTGTCCATGGACGATGCGCGTCAGCATGCTTCGTATGTTGATGCTGACTTTAGTGCTGATGGGTCTGTGTGCTCGCGTGTTCGTAGGTTAGCCTGCTTGCCTCCTGCTAGTGTAGCCTTGTGCCTGTCTAGCTTAGGTGCTTGTGTTGCTGCTCTAGGTGCTTGTGTAGCGACTGGGTCAGGTGACCCTCCGGCTGAGGCCTCTCTGTCGTTCACGCTGGACTCGGGCGCGTCTCAGTGCTTCTTCCGCGACCACACGACCCTTACGCCACTCCTCACCCCTGTGTCGGTGGCTCTGGCTGATCCTACCTCTGGACCAGCCGTTGCGCGTAGCTCCACCACCCTCCCGTGCCCTGTGGTCCCCTCTGGTGTCCTGCGCGGCCTCCACATCCCCTCGTTCACTCGGAACTTGGTGGGTGTTGGATACCTCCAGGACAGGGGGATCACGGTTACCTTCGTGGGGGGTGGGCGGACTGCAGTCTGTACTGACGCTACCACAGGTGCTGTTCTGGCCACTTTCACCAGGGAGCCCCGCTCCGGTCTCTACGTTCTCCACACCGAGCGCTCCCCGGTCGCGTCCTCCCCTCAGGTCGTTGCGTCCCCTCCGGCCCAGGTCCCCAGTCCAGTTGCTGTGTCTAGCCAGGTAGTCGTGTCCAGTCCGGTCGCTGTGTCCAGTCCAGTCGCTGCGTCTTGCTCCTGTCGCTCTCTCGCCCACCGCACAGTCCTGTGGCATCACCGCCTTGGCCACCCGTCGATCCCTCGCCTTCGTGGCATGCTCAGTCAGGGACTTGTCACAGGTCTCCCACGCACCTTCCCGTCGCTCCCTCCCTCGCTTGCCCCTCCTAGCTCTCCGTGCGTCGCCGGTCGCTTACGCGCCACTCCCCACTCCTCCTCCCTTCGTCCGGCCACCGCTCCCTTCGAGACTCTCCACTTGGACGTCTGGGGCCCTGCCCCGACGCAGGGGTCTGGGAGAGAGCGTTACTTTCTGGTGGTCGTCGACGACTACTCCAGGTACACCACAGTGTTCCCTCTTGCGAAGAAGTCCGAGGTGACTGCTACGCTGATCAGGTGGCTTCTAGCCACTGAGGGCACTCGTGGTCGTCGAGTCAGTTGTCTTCACTCCGACCGTGGGGGCGAGTTTCGCTCCGGCATTCTCGGCGGATTCTGCGGCGAACAGGGCATCACCCAGTCCTGGACGCTGCCAGAGTCCCCACAGCAGAATGGGGTTGCTGAGCGCCGCATAGGCTTGGTCATGGACATCGCCCGCACGTCCATGATCCATGCCCGTGCGCCCCATTTTCTGTGGCCTCACGCGGTTCGCTACGCCGCACACCAGCTGAACCTCCAGCCACGTGTCTCGCGGCCCGAGGCTTCACCGACCAGTCTTTGGACTGGTTCCCCTGGTGTTGGGTCGGCCTTTCGAGTCTGGGGCTGCCTTGCACTTGTTCGCGACACCTCCGCGGACAAGCTCTCGGCACGCGCCGTCCCCTGTCTCTTCCTTGGTTTCCCAGTGGACTCTGCCGACTGGTCCTTTTACCACCCGCCCCTCCACCAGTTCCTAGACTCCCGTGACGTCCGGTTTGACGAGTCTGTGTCCTACTACACCCGGTACCCCTGTCGAGGTCTCCCGGTACCCCCTCCCCCCCTGTTCCTAGCACCCTCTCCTCCTCCTGCTCCTGCTCCTCCGGTACCCCCGCCCCCCCCTGGTCCTGCCCCGTCTAGTGTGTCCCACGCTACCCCTCTACCCTCGGTCGCGCGTCAGGTAGCGTCTCCCTCCCCGCAGTCCTCCTCACAGTCCCCTCAGTAGCCTTCGGCACTTCCGCGACAGGTTACTGTGGACTCGGTTGGTGTTGGAGCTGGAGGTGCAGCCGCTGGCGGTGCTCGGTCTGGGGGTGCTCGGTCGCGGGGTGCTGGAGCTGGAGGTGCTGGCGCAGGTGGCGCTGGCTCTGGGGGTGCTGGAGCTGGAGGTGCTGGCACTGGAGGTGCTAGTTCTGGGGGTGCTGGAGTTGGCGGTGCTGGCACTGGCGGTGCTAGTTCTGGGGGTGCTGGAGTTGGAGGTCCTGGCACTGGAGGTGCTGGTTCTGGGGGTGCTGAGTCTGAGGAGACTGACGCTGGAGACCCTGGTTCTGCGGAGTCCACTCCGCCTCCCCACCGCCACGACACGCGTCTCCAGGCTGCCCGTCGGCGTGAGCGTGAGGAGCGGGAGCGGTTGGAGAGGGAGCGGCAGGAGCTGCGGGTGCTGGACCTTCTGGAGCAGCAGCGGCAGCAGCAGCAGCAGCAGCAGCAGCAGCAGCAGCAGCCGCAGCCGCAGCAGCCGCAGCCGCAGCAGCAGCAGCCGCAGCCGCCGCTGCAGCAGCAGCAGCCGCAGCCGCCACCGCAGCTTCCTCTGGAGCGGCAGTTGTTCCCACCAGTGAGTGGCCTGCGGGCCCTTGGCCTTTCCTCCTCTCCTC